GTTAAACTTTGAACATTTACCATTATAGTATGTAATCGTTAAACTTTGAACATTTTCTATTAGTCTATTAAGGTTCGTAATCGTTAAACAATATTTGTAACCATTATTCTGTATAATTTGTATTCTTGCTTATTTATTTAGTGTTTTGACAATGTTTTATTTTTTATTTCTAAATAACAAAAATTTAATATTTTAGGAAGCGGGTACCCGGAACTGGTTCCCGGCGGTTCCGGTTCCGGTTCCAAAAATTTAAGAACCGCTCTAACCGGTTCCGGTTCCAATATCTCAAGAACCGCTGGTTCCGGTTCTTGCCAAAAAGGACGGGTACCCGCCTATGCTCACCCCTAATATATATATATATATATATATATATATATATATATATATATATATATATATATAGTTTCTTCTTCTTAGATACTTGATTCTTAAGACTTTTGACAACCTAAACTTGGACTTGGGATAAAACATCAAAATGGCTCTTTATTAGACTAAAATGTGACACCAACAAAATGAAAATGATAAAATTAGGCTATAAAAATGCTCCATATGAATTATTTCGTTGAATTTGCTAAAAATACATGAATAATTTTTAAAGAATCCGCTCTTTTTATGCTTCATCAGCCGAAGTGTTTAAGGATTGGTCCATGTCTCCAACTAATATCATATACTTCAATTTATACCTAGGATTGCCAAATTATTACAAATGTGCAAATAACGAGTCCGATTCCATAGTTGAAGTTAAGGGACCAGATTCGTAAACATACTAAACCACAGGGATTTAATTTGTAATTAACTCTAAAGTTAATTTTCGGAAGTTTGACTTGAAGTCCTACCTCCCGGTCAGAAACGACACCTGTAAGTTGCGTAGGAAGAGAATGGTGACCAGTGACCAGTGACCGTTCAGTACCGGTAGCTGTTTTCAACTTCTACTCTGTGAACAGCGCTCTCTGTTTCAAAATTTAAAAAAGGATAATTTTTACCCCTCCGCCGTTTCTCTTCCTATCCCCCAATTTGCATACTCTGCTTCCTAATTCTCTAGGGCACAGAAAACAGTCACTAACTGTAGCGTTAAACACTTTTTCTCTCATTCCCTCCCCGTTCAACTTGGGTTTTCAATAGAAAAGCTAGTGTTCTTGATATTCAGAAACTTCACTTGACATTTTTAGGGTTTTCTTTAACCATTTCTTGGTGTTGTGCAATTTTGAAAGAAGGATAAGATGGTTGATGAGAGGGAAACCACAAATGGTCATGGTTGTGATTTGAATTGTAGTATGGGACCGACAACTGGAGCAACAAATAAGGGTGGGTTGTTGCTTGATGGCAATAGCGGTGGCTTTAGTTTTGGCGAGGGAACTTCTGCAGAGGGTTTAAGAATCTACAAGAGGAGAAAACGCAGAAAGATGAGCAACTCGGATGAAATGACGAAGAGTATATTCAATGATAAGGTACTAAAATGGTTTAGTTCTTCAAAATTGTTCATCTGATCGTCTTTTTGTTATAGGACTTTTGTTCGTGGCTTTTGTTCGTGGCTTTTGTGGATATTATGATTATCTGTAGGTATTTAAAGGCAATTGGTTAAAATTGTTACTTGTTTGTTGATTAGTTTAATTTTGGCAATTTATGATTGGGTAGAAGTTTGTAAATCGAATTATACGCCATATCAAGTGCTAAAGATGACAAGTTATTATTATGCCTTCATCCCCTCTCACTACAATTACGATTTTTTTTTGAATTTTACAAAGATTTAGGATTTGAGTACCTTTTGAGTTGTAGACACACGCTTATATGGTCTTTGGATGAATTTTATATCTATACACATTATAGCATGTCCGCACATGACTTGGTAATATATGTAGAAATGTATTATTCTATTTACTGGATATTCATACCCTTGTATTAACCAACACACAACAACATTTGAGGGTTCTTTTAGTTTCAACCTCTTTTCAGAAGGTGGAGATTCAACTTTTGAGATTCATTTTTCAGAATCCAAAGATATTATTCTGTTTGGCTTTTAAAAATGATGGATGTCATACCCAATATATTATCTAAGTATCAATCTTGAAGCTAGAGTGATGGAAGTAGATTATAATCATCGCTTTTATTGTAAATTCCTAGGATCCACTTCCCAATTCTCCCCTTCAACACGAGTCTGGTCAGCATATAACTAACTTGCAATGTTTGGCCAGGTATCCTGCTGGATTAGGTTGGCTGCTTACAACCTTGGTTATTAGATCCTCCCATATTATTGCCTACTTATACTTGTTTGCTTGAGTCACAGAATGTGATATGATGCTTGAGTTTAGAATGTGATATGATGCTTGAGGCTGAAAATCAAATGCTGAAATGCTTTCCTTTAGTAAAGTAGGAATCATGCAGTTTTTGTGCTATATTGGGGAGATCTTTATTTTTATGAAAGAATTGAAGTTTTTTCTTTTCCTATACCGGAGTTGATGAAACCTTATCTGTTTTGGGGTTTCTTCTACATCCTTAATGTTCTTGGTGTTCAACTGAATTGTGAACCAATCAACCTGGTTTCCTGCAGATAAAGGATGCTGATGGTGTCGCTTCCGATCAAGATGCTCTCAGGTTGAGTTTTGATGCATTTCCTATTGGGGCAGGTGAATGTTCTCTCAGGCATTGTAGAAAGATTGTCTTACAGCAGATGTATCAGTCACTTGGTGGGTGTGAAGATGGTCTTGGTCACTGCATCCTAAACGCCCTTGTTTCTTATCCAGAAAGTGGTACGTCTGCAGTTAAGGTAAAATACTTGCACAAGAATTTTATAATATTGGTTGATTTATGAGGTGACTCCTACTTATTGAACCCATACTGCTTTTTTAATGTTCTTTTTATTTGCTTGGATTCATGCAATAAACTTCTTTTGCAGGAACCTCTCGATGGTGTTGAAAAAAGTGACAACCAAACACATAATTGTGCTACAGAACTTTCTCATTTTATGTCTAGTGGATTATTAAATCAATCAGAAAGTTCTACTATCTCCGGGTTATGTGGACGTGCATTCTTTGATATTCTAATGTCTGACAAATTCTCTGAATTATGTGCCCTACTTCTCAAGAATTTTGATGGTGTCAATGTTAACGGGATTTTGGACGTTAATGCTATAAACATGAGGATGAAAACTGGAGCTTATGAAAGTTTACCTATGCTTTACCTTAAAGATGTTCAACAGGTATTCTTCTTGTCCAAACTTTGACTTTTGTTATTCAAATATTTGATCTACTAGTGAGAACCTGTAGCGTAGAGGATGATATTGCCCAGTGCATTTTTTGTTGAATCATAAAAGTTTGCATGCACATATAACCTCTTCTTTTTTATCTTACAATGCCTTTGATAGTCAAATTGTTATCTTATAGAGAGAACAATTTTACTAGTGAGAGCTTGCAGCTAGGAGCATTAGACAGTCTAATGGATTTTTGTAAATAATGCTAAATTTGTCTTCCACATAAAAATGTATTCCCTTTTAACTTACCCTGCATAATAAAAACAGAACATCACAAACTAAGACTTGTACTGAATAGAATTGTGAAATTCCTATGTAGTTAAGGAGATGTCATTTTTTACCCGTGGGTTTTGTGCATGCTGTTTCTCCGGGTACAATTTGGCAACAGCTTTTTGCTTGCGTAGAAAAGGATTTCCCCTTTGCCTTGCTATAGTAGTTAAAACACCTTTCTTAATCTTATTTATAGATGTGACAGTGGAAGTCCCATTGAGTTGCAAAGATAGCATTTTCTACCGGTAAAGAACTTGTGGCTTGATTCATTATATTGCACACTTGACAAATTAGGTAATTGCAATAATTTTCAGGCATCAGAAAGGCATTCTCCTTCATCTTTCCGTGCATTAGCAAAAGGCAAGCTCATGGCCTGACATAAACATGCAATATTAAAATTTACATCAAATTACTTGGTTATCATGTCGTCTTCCAGCCTAGGCTACCAATCTGACCGAGAAGGCATAATGTTAAATACTAGAACCTTAACCCAGCATACACTTTTGCTAATGCTTATTTTTTTCAGTATGGATACAAGTGTACAATTATCACTAAATTAGTTGGTAGATAATGTTTGTGATGTGTCTGCAGTATCTCCTCTTTCTATTGCTTTGATGTCCCTTTTAATTTATGTGAATATCCATCACTTAATCTGTGGATTTGTTGTCTTCTGATTCGTAGAACCATTAGCATTTCTGTCTGCTGCGATCAAGTGTTTTCATATAAAAAGTAAATATCCTCTTGGGCATTCTTCAAAGTCTCTTTTTTTTCCTCATGTCTTCTATTATCACTTTATAGCATGTCAGCTATTGTGTGTACAATTTTTGAGTGGCTCAAGTAATCATATTACTAGTTTAAAGACTGAGAGTGGAGTCAGAACAGCAAGCACTAAGAGAGTAAGGGGCCTTGCTCTGGTCCTTACCCGGTAAGTTAACTAACTATTGTGAGAGACGTCGTCCTCACTTACCGGGTAAGCCTCTTGGTCCTTGCCTCTGGTCCTTACCATATTCATCCAGTAAGGTAATGTGACTTAGTAAGCGCTTACCGAGTAAGCATTTGGTAAACGACCCTAGGTCTCCTTCAAATAAGACATAAGATATCGTTCCATGGGGCTTTTCTCATGGTGCAGATAATTGCTTTACTAAATGGAAGGCTATTGGGAAGGAGAGAGAAAGCCATGCCAAGAACTCCTTCAATCACTTCTCCAAGATGATTGATATTTGATCCATATCCAACATCTCAATAATTCAACACACAAGAAATCATTATGAGTCTTTATGATTCTTTTTGTGGAACATAAATATCTATGGTAGAAAATACATGTTAAAACCATTATAAAAACAGATCTTTGAGCACCATGCTCAAATCACAACATGGTTACCACTTTATAAGTTGGGAGTTTCAATGCTGGTCACATCTCCATTAATTTATAGTCTCTAGTCTCTTCTTATACTGTATGGGAACCATTCAAGTTTTTGATATTCTCATATTGGAAACAACAAAAGGGATAGAGTGTGATATGTTTACTTGCACCATATGATCATTTTGTTTAATATCCTCTCTCTTACCTCCTTGAAATTCTTCATGCACATAAAGGAGCAGCATCTGGTCATGGAGACTAGGATTCTATGGATTAGAAGTCTTACGTTTTCCAACAACTTCAGTTGTTGTCCAGATTGCACATGCATACTATAAAGTGTTGGAGCTTTCCCCATGCCCTCCTTTTGCAATAAGAGCTAAATGGTGTTCAAGAGTAGATGAGATTATTTGATTTTGCTGGGAATTGGGTTGTTTATCTAATAGGAGATTTGTTGCTCTCATGATTCAAGCGATAAGGTGAATTCAATAGAGGAAAGTCATTAGGGGTGTTGGGGTCTGGGGTTGTGATCATGACAGCGAGGACGGCAGGATGAGCAACCATTAGGGGTAGTGAGTAGGCTGTGCATCTGAATGATGTGTATTAACTATGTATATGAATCCTTAAATCTTTATCACAGAAATGGAAACAATGTGTATGGTTAGGTGGAAGACAAACAGAACATTGATCTCGTTTTATATGCCATGTCTGCAAGTTGGATTAAAAGAACTCAGGCTTATTATAGAGCAAAAATGTCAACATTTTGCCTGTAACGTTTTTGTAGGATTTTTCCAAGTACGATATTAGTTTTGATGCACAGACTTTTAAGTACAATGGTTACATAGGTAATTCACTATTTATTCCATATTTTACAACTGTAGATATAGTTCCTAGAACAAGTAATGTCATAACAAGCTTGATGTTGCATTATTTATAGAGCAATCTTAGATGATGTTGCTGGAGGACTGGTGGAAAAACTGTAACTTATGTACAAACAGGGAATGGAGATTGCCTAGAGTAGAGGGCATTCTTGTGATGCTTCGTTTAAAAAGTTGTGTAATACTATGAAAGGTGAATATTGTATAATAAATCTGATATGTGTTATCTTAAGGCTTTATTTTATCCCTTCCATGTGGTTGTGAAGAACACCTAAGTCATGCAGGAGTTGCCTTCTAGGGGTTGTGCTTTCATGTATACAATTTAGCACCACCTCTAGGTGCCAGTAAAATATATCACTTAGGTACTGAGTGACAGTTTTTTCTTCTACGACATTACACATCATCAACTGTACTTTTATTGTTGCCTACATTGTGTTGCACTTATAAGTCATGACTTTTATGTTAATTAAGCAGGATAGAATCTGACAGATTAGAAATTGATGCCACAGTGAAAATGTCTGTTGCTTTTGCTGATCTTCTAAATGTAAGAATAATTTGCACGTCCTTCAAAATTACGATATTTTAAGGTCTTCGAGTTTTTTGTTCTGAATTTTGTAAGATTAAGTTTCTTTATCAAGTGATAATATTGAAGGGAATGTATGGTAATTATCATTAATAACATGTATTCAAAGAAGAGTATTTTTACAGCTGAATGTATGACTGATATAAATAACATCGATCACTTTAACTGCAATACCAACCTATACATGTAAAACCCGATATGAAGAAAAGGTGGTAAGGTGCACTATATGTTTTTACACTTTAGTCTAACTGAAATTATGAGGTCTAATTAATTGCTATTAAGGAATTTCTTTGGACCTTATTATGAAGGGTTACAGCATAGAATCTTTTTTGGGTCATTTGTCATCAAAAAAACCTTTTGGAACTTTATAATCCATTATTGAGACTGGATTATATGGGATTAATTTCATGTAAATATGTGTGGAAATTTAGTTGGTCTTGCAATATCACTTGTGGTGGATATTCGCTATCTGAGTTGCTTATACCTTTTTATGCTGCTCTTTATTTTGTGGGTCACATCTTTTATGCTAATATCAACTTATTTGGACCATCTTTATGCATCTTCATTTCTTCTTATGACATATAAAAGGTGTTTGTAGTTTTATTATGTTTTGTTTACCATGTATCCATTAGTTAATGTATCTTGTTTGTCATCAATGTTACACTTTTAACCCTAACTCATCACCTGCTACCGAAGAGCCACGAGAATAAAAACAAAACCATAGCCTCTTAGTATTGCTACCTCCAATAGTAGAGAACTGTCATGGTCTGCTACTGTCTTTGCTGCTGGATTTTGTAACTTTATCTTCTTCATGCACAATCCTCATACAACTTTTGTCTAGTATCTGTTCACAAGGCCTTTTGTTTGGACCGCCTGCTTCCTTGTGAGTCGATAGTGATTCTGGCTACTGCATACCGTCTTGATCAGGCCACTGGCCCTCTACATCTTTTCCGACTACCTGTAGTAGAATAGTCAGTGCATCCCTATGGCAATTACTGTTTCGGGAGAGAGCTGATAAGAAATTCTAATTCTAAGAGCTGATAAGTGGATACCAAAATTTTCAGTTACATTAAACTAAGAGATTCTAATTTGATTCAATTGTCATCTTTTCTTATGCTGTGGCTTGAGAGTGCAACGAAGGGTCATTATTTGACAAAGGACCCCTCATTGCCAATGACCAAGGAAAAATGAAATGCTAATTATGATGACATCTTGATGGCTCTTAGTTGGGTGCTCTGGATACAGATGTTTGTTATCCCCCTGGGTATCTACTAGTCAATACATGAGGCTGGTTTACTTAGGATTTAGGAAGTCAAATAGTCAATAAGGGTCGGTATAGGTACAAGTAGGTAAACTGTTAGTACAAACAGGTAATGCAGTGGTTGAAGTATATAAATAAGAGGTGGTGAGTGTGGGAAGGTATCAATCAATTTGTTAAGCCTGTTTTGGGTGAGAGCCTTGGGAGAGAATTTGGCCTCTCGAAAGCCAGAAACCTTATCATAATCATTCAGTTGATGCATAATATAGTTCTGTATCACTCAAATTAGTCTGGTGTTCATTTATGTTTTATCTGCCATTACGGATTGTAGTACTTTGAAGAAGTTGTGGAAGCCCCTGCACAAGGCTTAATTTCTGAAGCCATGTCACAAGCCTGTTATTATTCCACTTATTTGAGATGTGAAAGAGACTGAAAGTCAGATAGAGTATTACACAAGTTCAAAAAGTTGTATCGCTAAGTGCAGACAGTATACTCCTAATCACTGGCTCTGCCACCTTCACGTCCTCCTAGAGCTCAGCTTGTTTCTCATGCTGTGTGACATTGCTTCTACTTCTGGAGGGCCGTTTCATGAGGCTGTTTCATTCTTAGGGTTCTTTTTCATCATGTGCCTTCTACTCCTAATAAAAGACTGCCAACTAGGTCATCCATTTTATCATCTACATGTTTTGACCCTCCTGTGTGATTAAATTTTAAATGTCTGATCACATGATTGGGAATATGACTTTTTTTTTTCACCTTTTCATTTTGTTTTGTTGTCTGACACAATGGTTTTTTCTCCCATCAGCGGACATAATCGTTTATTTGCCTACTCTTTCTAAAGCCATATATCTGTGATGAAATTAGAAGAATTATAAGCTGTTTTTTGATAACCCTTTCCGCGATCTGTGCTTTAGCTGCGGTATTAGATATGAATGCTGAGGGTTAAATCTATTAGATGTACACAGATGCGAGCAAGTCTGTGATGTGTGTGTGTGTGTGTGTGTTGAGGGTGCTCATGGTTTGCTAAGGCATCTTCAATTGACTTTTAGAAGAAACTAATCAAGGAGACGAGAATTTCTTTGTAGACAGAAGAAAGAGGCTAGGGTTTTTGAGAAAGAAATAAAATGAGGAAAGGGGTAAATAAGGAATCAGTAGCTGTATATATTTATGTCTTGCTTATTTGTACACATTTGTATGCATAATTTAAAACAATTCCTTTACTGCTATTTTATCTATGACAAATAACCTGTAATGGAGAACGAGAATTAGGTAACAAAAATGGTGGTAAAATGACCATAAATGAGAACGAGGCTCACACTAGGTAAATATAAATAAACTTCTTATCAAAGTTATATACTTGCGGCGGGTTGGGTTGGGTCGAGTTAGGTCTAACCCAATTTCAACTCTATTAGTTGTCAGTTTGCGGTTTAAGGGGTTGGCAATTTGGGGTTTAACGGGTTGGCGGGTTAGGTTTTTAATTGGGTTGTTTGCGGATTGGATGGCCGGTTGAGTGGGTTGGCGGTTTTTTGTACAGCCTTAGGCACTTGCACATGTACCAGGCATCCGATCAAAATTACCTAGTCTGCTCCGCTATATTACCAAATCATGTGTTTCTAGAGCTACCATAGGTGGCTATGCTATTCTTATAAATTTGCAGTAGACCATATGGAAAGGTTGATGATGCTTTAACCTGCCTTTTGCTGCTTAAAGGCTCGGCTCACTGCTGAAGGTTATTCTCAGGCCTATAGCTTTTTGCATTCTCAAATATGGATAAACTTCGCTGCCATTTATCGTTGACCTCTCTATCAGGTGGGATATCAAGAGTGCGTTGTCAATGGCGTTTGTGGGTGGAATTTTATATAGATTACCCACCAGGTTTTGTTGTTCATGAGAAGGCTTCAACATTTGCGCTTACTGGCGTTCTTTACATGGTCTGAAACAGTTCCCATGAGATTGGTTGGGTTTATTCTTACATATTTGGTACCATCGTGGTTTCTAAGTGTTGTTGGGTTGTGAACTACTAAGCCTGTTTTTGGTCCAAAAGGAAAATTACTACCCAACGGAAAGTGTGTGAATGAACCGAAAAGTAACTGACTACATTCGAAACTAATCACTTGATTGTTACACAATTATCTGTTGGTCATTTCATGAGAGGATCAAACAGTTGGCATTGACATCTCTAATATGAAACCACTTATGTTGATGCTCGATAGTGCATGTGATCGAAGGGTGAAATCTCTAAGGCTACATTGACTACTTATGTTGCAAGTTGGCGAATGTTGATATTTAATGCTCCAACTTGGGGAGTTCCGATAGTTATTTTGGGTTTCTGTTAGTCATATTATTTTGGATTTCTATTGTTTACCTCTTGTGCTATGGCCATGGCCCTCTATGTCCTCTGTTTAAATGGTCTTTCCTCTTCGGTAGTAAACACACCTTTTCTACTAGATCAGTACAACTGGGACCATAATATGATGGTATTATACGATGGCAAAGAATCGGGCCCCATTCTTACCGAGGCACATACATATCTCAACAGAATTTTAAGGGTGTTTAATTTTGAAGGCAAGATATCAATCATCCTGCTACTTTACTTTCTTATAGCTTGTAAGAAGCACATGTTTGAGACCAACTAACCATTATAACCATATTTAGAAGTCAAATATGTGGTCTTACTTACTCATTTTCAATTTTATGATCTCAACCAAATTATCTTGTGATGTCATACTACCCTTCTGCACTTGAGTCAGCTACTCTACTGCCACTTGTCACCTGCATAACTGAAACCATTTGTTATTATTATAAATGGAGCATGTTCTATGTAATTGTGCGCTATTGTAATTTATTGGACTCCAATCATTCTGCTTTACATGTATCTTTTTGTTCTTTGATGATATTTGCTTGCCACATTTATAATGAATACGCCCATTTATCATGTTGACTAATTTTTTCAACTTCCGCAATTTGGATAGGTATGGACGAAGCTTCAACAAGTTGGAAATGAGATGGTTATGCTTGCAAAGGGTCTTTCTGACAAATCTAGGGATGACTACGAACAGCTGGTTCGCAAAGCCAAGGCATCAGAAGCTTGTAACTGCCAGGGATGTGGAGAAAAGGCAGATGTTGGAAACTGTTTAGTTTGTGATTCGTGTGAAGAGATATACCATGTGTCCTGTTCAGAGATTGTTGGTACAGAAATTCCTCCTAGAAGTTGGTATTGTGCCAAATGCGTTTCCAATGGAATAGGATCACCTCATGATAATTGTGTAGTTTGTGAGAAGCTGAAAGCCATACCAACAAACGCTGATCAAGTGGAAGAAGATGTACCGAATGGGTTTGAGGCAGATATGCATGATGAAATAACTGATGGAAGTTCAAAGATTTGTTTTATTTGCAAATCTGAGGTAAAGAAGGGAGACAATTTCCGAACTTGTGGGCATTTGTTATGTGGTCACAAGTTCTATCACCACAGGTGCCTAACAAGCAAGCAGTTGGGTGTGTATGGTCCTAGTTGGTTCTGCCCATCCTGTTTATGTCGAGGTTGCCTTGTGGACAAGGATGATGAGAATATTGTTCTCTGTGATGGCTGTGATCAAGCATATCATACATACTGTATGTCACCACAACTTCATTCTATTCCAAAGGGAAGTTGGTTTTGTGACAAATGTGACAGGGAACTGAAGCAAATAAGAAGAATGAAACTAGCATATGAGAATATGCAAAATAAAGTGAAAGTAGAGGAGGGTGGTGGAACTGGATTGGAGAAGAAATCAGAATATGAGGATGTGGCTGTGATGGATGAAGATGACGATGAAGAGAGAGACAAATCTGGTGGTGGATTGGAGATGCTTGTAACAGCAGCTAAAACACTAAGTCATCAAGAGAGTGAGTATGGATACCACTCTTAGGAATATGAGATGAAAGAAACGTTTGTACCATAATGTACAAGTTTTTGTTGCAATTTTATGGAACTGCGGGACAAGTCTTTTGGTAGGTTGTACACTACTACATGGAGGTTTCTGTTAACTCGACCAATACTTCTACCAATATTCAGGTTCTTACTTTTCTTACTGGTTTGGGAAGTGGGGGTTGGATTTCTTTTAGGCTCATGTATGTAAGATTCTGCAGGTTGATGTCTAACATAAACTTCAACTTTTGCTATGTCAATCTGAGAATACAGATGAAGAAGCTGGTATAGTTATCGTGTTTCTGCTGACCGATGAATTATTCTCTAATTACAAGTTATGTTTATCATTAAAACCACATTTGGAAATAATTCATGGTTTTAATATCTTTAAAATCAAAGTTCATAGTTGGATTTCAAATGGAGATTTTGGGATCTCTCTTGTTCATACATGGGACTAGAGTAGTAGCAGACTAGGGTAGGGATCCATAGATGCTAGCGTAGACGGAAAGGAGTGAGAGAGGTAAAGGTGGGAAACATGCTTATTGAGAAATAGTTAGGTGCTATTTGGTAAGGAGTGAGAGAGGTAAAGGTGGGAAACATGCTTATTGAGAAATAGTTAGGTGCTATTTGGTTTGCAAAATTCAAAGGAATTAGAATGGATCTTTCATTTCAAAAGTGGTATCTCCCCAATGGAGAAGTGATGCTTAAGGAAAATCTTTACTCACGCATACCGCAGTGCATTCTTGTCAGAATCCATTGATAGCAACATATCAATTTCTTTGACCAAATTCCAATTCCAATTTCTTTGTTTGGTTCACACATGAAATGGATGGAATCCTTTGAAGTGTACAAGTTAAAGAATTGATCATTCCTTGGCATAAGTGAAAGAATTGAATTACATCACCGCCTATCCCTTGCCCTAACCACGACCAGCCATACATTTGTGTTCGGTAAGGGCTTAGTCAGGCATATAGGGGTTGATTCGCACAACCATAATATCACACTCCTATCCACTCGGTCATTACTTTTCTCCAACTACCCCTCTCCCTAACTACTCATATTAATCGAAAAAGAACCCTAAAAAAGAGACGCTGATTGTTGAATCCAACTCACACGTTGCTCGTTGAATCCATCGTTCTCCACACAGGTATGCCGTTCTACTCGTCGATTGTTCTTCACTGTTCTTCGATTCTTCATGTACTTGTTCGATTTACCCATATATGTTAGATTGGTTCAAAGATTCCTGTTCGATTTACCCATTTCTATTTGATTTCTGTTCAAACTCTTTGAACCAATCGATTGTTCCTCACCGTGCATCAACCCTTCTGTTCGATTTCTGATTTTGTTGTTCATGATTTAAGAGAGTTAAGTAATCTATGGTGTTGGATGTTCAACTGTTTTCACTTTTTCTTGAAGTTTTCACTGTCCATGGTGTTGGATATTCAATTGTTCGATTTGTGATTTTGTTGTTTTCACTCTCCATATCCAAGTGCAAAGAATACTTAATAAGATCACCATTTGGACCAAGTCCGAGCTCTTCCATGAGAGGATGGTTAATTTTTTTTGAAGTAGAATATGATTTCACAGTATGAATTGTCTATCGAGTAGCTTCAAAGTGCTGGTATAAGCTGGTGCAATAATTAGTCTGATAGTAAGAAAACAAGTTTAGTAGTTGTGATAATCGGGTCCTGGTTATTACCCAAGGTATTTATTATGTGAATTAATTGTTTAGATGAATACATGTTTACATGGATTGAATACGTGAGTAAGTGTATTTTATGCATAGATAATATGCATAGAGAATATGCATAGAGAATATGCATAATATGTAAGTATGTATATATATATATGTTTTATATATATATATATGTTATATATATATATATATATATATATATATGAAATTATATGTGCATGAAGTATGTGGGTGTGTGCATGTGTGAAATGATATACATGTGGGGAAGGGGAAGTAACCGACTTTCCAATTCAGGAAAGTATATATATATATATATATATATATATATAGGAAGTTGGGTAAAGATTGAGTTTTTCTTGCCTCATTTGAGTTTCGGGAGGATTTAGAGAGAAGTTTGTCCGGTGAATCAAGTTGGGATTCATTTTGCTATTTCATCTTCAAATTTGAGTTTTTATCTAAGGTGAGTGATTTCTAAATTACTCTTTTAAAAGCTTTGATTATTACTATAGAAAGAACTGCGTATTATTCTTAAAAACTGGTTTTGTGCGATTTGGGTTTATTTGGACAAGGGGTGACCAAACTAAGTATAAACCGGACAAGGCTTGTCCGGATTGCCTTTAAATCGGTCATGTGTTATTCGATTTAAAGGTAAACCGATCAAATATTGTGCGATTTAGGGTGTTAGTGAGAAATTGAATTATGTAAACCGGACAAAGGTTTTTGAACGGAGAATTATTAATACGACCAGTGTTGTGCGGTATATTCTTAAATAGCATAAGTATCGTGCGGATTAGTTATTAATTGATCAAGGGATGTCCGGATTTGATAAATCAGACAAGTATGTGTACATCGGACAAAGGGGATAGTGTTGTCTGGATAACCTATCCGGACGTTTATTTGATGAAAATTTCAACTATTGGATTTTCTTGGAATTATATAATTTGGTAAGTTAATATTGGGTTTAAAGTATGTTATTATCAAAAAGGGGTATTTTATATCTTTTTAAAATAAAAAAAGATGTCCCTACCAAGCGTGGTGACGTATGTCTATTTTGGTATGGAACTGGATTTTTGGGAAATGTTTCTACCAAGCGTGGTGACGTAAGTCTGTTTTGGTATGAAACTTGTTTTAAGAAGTAGTTCCCCCAGACGTGGTGACTTTTGTCAGTTCTGGTTTGGAACTGGGAATATGTTCTTTCAGACGTGGTGACTTTTGTCTGTTCTGATAAGTAGCCCTGTTTTGATGGAAGAATAAGGGTGACATATCAAAGAGATGTGTACTTGGAATAAGAGAGACATTGTCATATGTGGATAATATTATAACTCTTATTATTATTACTAATTGAATTTAATAATTTTGAGTCGTCATTTCTTTGTGACCTGATGATTTAGAGATATTATTCCTATTAGAAATAATAATTTAGATGTGATTGAGAAGAGGAAAATAGTTTGTCATAAAGGGCAAGTATTGCCTTAAATCTTTCCGTTGAAATTTACAAAGGATTGGTTTGATAATTCAAAAAAGCTTCGGTTACAATATTTGTTTCATACTGGGAACGCTGGATCTTTAAGCAGATGTAATTCATTAATAGAACTGAGGTTCTTAAGTTTATTCTATTATACATGTTATTGAGAACTACATTATTTGATTGTATTGCAAATATATATATAAGCAAAGATACTTTAATATATTTTTGGTGTTTATCACCCTGCATTTGCAAAAGAAGGGATTTACTTACTAGACCTTCTGGTCTAACCCTCATTTTTTCTGTCTTTAAAATATGTGGTGCAGGAATGGCGGGGTCCAGGGATAATAAAGGGAAAAGAAAAATGTGATTATTTTCCTAATCTGATATCTAGTTTTGAGGATCTGCTTGAGGTTGCTTATTGCTGAAGATACATGTTGTATTAAATGTGATAGTACATGATTTTGTTTTGGAATTTTTCATATGTAGATTTTGTACATATAAGAATCCTTATACTAAAGGAACCTTGGGATGTAAACTACATTTCCATGCAATGAAATATGCGTTATATGCAAATATGGTGTTTGGAGGTGTTACAGAAGTGGTATCAAAGCCTTAGGTTAAGAGATTTAGGTATTCAAAGCATGATGCCTAGACTTAAACTATCATTTACATGTTAAGAGTCCCGGATATAATTAATATCACTGGGAATAAATAGGTGAATTCAAATTACAAATGGCCAATGTAATTATGAATTTACAGGTACATACCTATATTCGGATACCATATTATATTTGGGAATGTGAATACGTGATATTTAATACTAAAATATCTGCAGATGTCTAGTCGATCACGAAGATCAGAAAGAATTGCCCACTCTGCATCTGAAGAAAGGGAGGAATCTCCTGTTAATCCACCAACCTATTCTTCGGGAAGTAGAGGTCGGGGAAGGAGTAGGGGTAGAGGTCAGGGGAGAAGTCAGACTGAGATTCACCCTGATCAAGGGGAATCTATTTCTAGAAATGCGCATCAAGAACAGAGGCAACAACCTGAGTATATAACCAGAGACGTTTTGGCAGAAGAAATGGGAAAATTAAGGGAAACTTTGATATCCATTATGGGATTACCAGCCATAATAGAAATTGAGCGAGTTGGAATTAATTCTCTAGCTCCTTCAGCAGGCAGTAATAACCGGGGAGGAGACATAAAGATGTTTCTGACATGTAAACCTCTGACTTTTTCAGGAGACAGATCCAGTAAAAGCAATGTGCTGGATAAAAGAAATTGAATTAGTGTTCAATACTAGTAGATGTTCTGAAGAAGATAAGGTCAGATTTGTAGTATCTATGCTCAAATCTAATGCCTTATATTGGTGGGATGTGGAACCAAATATACTGCAAACAATGTCTTAGGAAGAATTTGTGAACAAATTCAAAACACAATTATGTCCTACGACGGAAGTAAGACAGATGGAAGAAGATTTTCTTAAACTGGAACAAGGGAGTAGATCTGTACGGGATTATACCGATAAATTTATTGAGTATTCCCGTTTTGCGGAACATTACGTATCTTCAGAATCCTGAAAGGTAGAGAGGTATATTTGGGGTCGGAAACCTTCCATTCGGGAGTTTGTGATTGCTATGAACCCTGATACTTTCTCATTAGCTGTAAATGATGCCGAAGTTACTGAAAGAAACGAAAATCGGCAAGGTGAAGAGAAATTAGTTGAGAAAAGACCCAAGTTTATTAAATCAGATAACCGTACTCCTCAGTCGCCATCTGTTGGGATTTATCCACGGTGTCAGCAGGTGCATCAAGAGAATTGTCTATCTGAACCAAAGAGATGCTATCGATGTGGGGAAGCAGGGCATTTGTCAAGGGACTGCACTACACCCAAAAGGTGTTTTCAATGCAATTCACTTGACCATATCCGACCGAATTGTCCACAATTAAGAGCTCCTCGTTTAACAATGGGAGGAAATGCTCCCAGTAATCGAGGAAGGCCTAGTGCACCGAGGGGAGACCTGAGTGGAGCTAGAGGTAGATCGTTCCAAATGACAAAGAACGAGGCAGAAGCAACCCCAGATGTGGTAACATGTACCTTTCTTCTGAATTCTATACGTGCTAAGGTGTTGTTT